CGACGACAGTCGAAGTCGCCTACATGGCTAAGGCCATCAATTATATCATGGCTAAGGCCATCGCCGCCAACGGTCGACCTAGATTCGACTATGGTAAGTGAACGACTCGACGACAGTCGAAGTCGTCTACATGGCTAAAGCCATCAACTATATTATGGCTAAGGCCATCGACGTCGATAAGTCGACCTAGCTCGACTATGACGACAAATAACTCGACGACAGTCGAAGTCACGTACATGGCTAAGGCCATATATGATATTATGGCGAAAGCCATCGACGCCGATAAGTCGACCCAGCTCGATTACGACGGCAAGTAACTCGATGACAGTCGAAGTTACGCACACGGATAAGGCCATCAACGGTATAATGGCTAAGGCCATCGACGCCGATAAGTCGACCCAGCTCGACTATGAGCGAGTAACTCGACGATAGTCGAAGTTGCGCACACGGATAAGGCCATCAACAATATAAAGGCCGAAAATAAAAGGTACAAAAAGAAAAGAATAACAGCAAAAGTACAACTTCCATTATCATCCAAAAATACATGTACAAAAGGACCCATTTACGTCTCCAAATACAGCAAAACAAAATGAATACAAGTCCTAAGGGGCTTCGCCATTCTGTTCACCGCCCCCCGTCGGATCGTCATCTCGTCCACCGTCGTCCTTGGCCTGATAGGCCGTAGAGACCCAAGAGCCGGATTCTAGACGGTTGACGTCTTCGGAGTTATAGCCCGCCCGGTTCGGGGAATCAGAACTATACCCACAAGCTTCACGGGCGACACGGGCTATGCGCCGTTGCTCTTGAACCTCCGCCTCAGTAGCTCGACCCGCAGATAAGAACTCCTCGAATACGACCAATCTGGCCTCGGCGTACACCCACATGTCATGCGCCTCACGATGCGCATCCTCATCAGGCCTTGGTGCAACAGTCCGCTTAAGGACTTCAATCTCAGTCGCCTTGGCATCGAGTTTGGTGGTCATAGCGGCAACCTTGATCCGCAAATCAGCAGCTTCCGCCGCTACCCCACGGCCAACCTCCAACTCTTCTTCCTTAGACTGGAGAAGAGTCTCCAGCTCAATGTTCCGAGCCAGGGCGGTCATCAGCTGCTCGTCGATCTGCTCCAACTCGGCCACCCTCCCTTTCAGTTGGGCCTCCGACTGCTCCAAACCCTCACGGAAAACCCGAAATTCCGGGTACTGCTTAGGTAGGTCCGCCAGCGCCTGATGCTTGACACGGCACCGCCGATATTTCTTTACCACCTTGTTAAAAGTGGCTGCCTTCCTTTGCGCTCGCCGCCCCCTCTCTACCTCCAAGATGAGAGTCTAAAAAAGAGGAAAAGGAGGAAAGGCAAGTCAGTGTGCATCAAAATTTACTTTACGGTACATGAAGAAAATCGAAAAATACCAGCAAGGCCGCGCCGGCAACCCTCCGGGATAGTTCCCCGTCGCTAACCCCTTTTAACATTTCACGCTCAGCGGCCGCACATAGCAAGGTCATATCCGTTGCGGCCTGCTCGCTGTGTTGCAACAGGTTATACCCTCCTGGGATCAGAATTCGGCGGTTGGATCTACCTGCCGTCATCCCCACACGGGCCGGACCCCGCGTTAACGCATCTGCATCCGCCTGGGCGGCCTTAGGGCCCACCCTCTCGGTATCATCACCCGCTTCTCCAACAGCAGCCGACGAGCCGCTCTCCGGAATGCGTGTTGGGCCGGCGTCGAGAGCCGCCCCCCCTTGGGGAGCCGACCTCCCGGAACGGATGGCATCTGCCATAAAAATTGGCCTTGACTCTCGATGGGGCTCGCTCGCCCCTCGTCCTCTGTGGCTATCCCCTTGCCGGTTATCAACCGACGTCTTTTCCTTTCCGGCGGCTCCTCGCTCTTAGAAGTCTCCTCCACAGCCCGTGGGGATGGCATTGAAGGAGTCGCTCCCCTCGTGGACGCCGCCACGGGCAGCGGTTGAGGAACCTCCGCAGCACCATCACTAGGCGAACCACAGGGTATGTATCCGTCTTCAGAATCAGTCCCCGCCCCAGGTGAGGTGACGACGTTCTTTTTCTTCTTCTTAGGGGCGCTCCGACCTGCCAACGCGAATAAGTCAGGTAACAAGAACGTAGGGAACTCCCAAATCGTAGCCAACGAATTACCTGACGGGTCGTACCGTTGAAGAAATGCAGCCCAGGTACGGCATTCCTCCGCATAAGGTATTATTCTTTCCACCCATGATTTAATGTCATCAGTGAACTGGGGTGGAGAAAAAAAAGCCCTCGCTGCGAATAAAAAAAGGAAAAAAGCAAAGAAATCACAATGGTCGTATGGTCAAAAGCGCAAGCAGTCCTGAATTCTACGAGTAGAAATACTTACGTTCTGGACTCCATCTTTCCGGGAACCCTTCGGGATTCGACACCAGGTGTTCCGTCCTGATGTAGAAATATTTACGCCAAAAACGGCGGTTGGGCTTATCATCGGCTTTAACAACCAAGCCCCTTGTGCCACGACTTTTTAACTGCAGCATGGTACCCCTCAGGTAACCAGGGCTGAATAACTGTAAGAGGTGGTGGACCGAGACGCTGCACTCAGCCCTGGCCGCATAAGTGGTCATAATACGGCACACCTTCAAGGTGTAAGGAGTGAGCTGAGCCGGACACACATTGTAAAAACGGCAAAGCTCCTCCATCAGAGGGTAGATTGGAAGATTGTAACCGATCAAGAACGGGTACTCATAGAATGTGCAATATCCAGGCCGGTGCACATTGGCATAATCCGTCCCGGCCGGAACCATTTCCACGTGGTCCGGAATATGGTGCGTCTCTCGAAGATCATCTAAATGGGATTGTAATAAAACGCTGTGCTCCCAGGGAAGGTCTGGGCTTTTAGTTGGAAAATCCCTGCGAATATGCATCTCCTTCGGAAGGACGTTGTCTACACTGAGAGGAACAAGGGCCTTCTCCGCCTTTTCCCCTTCGCCACCGGAAGATGGCGGAACCGCATTATCTTTGGCCTTTTTACTACTCTGTCCACGTTTCGTCATGATTACACTACGTAAGAAACGAAACACTGACGATAGGAAGTGTGGTTTCAACAGAAGTGGGAGAGTCCCTCATGAAATAACGGTTACAGGAAAGAAAGACAAAGGAGTAAATCAGAAAATGCTTTTCGAAGGCTTGAAAGTTGAATCGAATCGAACCTCTCTCCTACTTATAGGGATAAGTTGCGCAGAAATCGAAGAGTCGTGATTCAAAACGTGCCCGGGAAGCCAAAATGTCACATCATCCTCTGAACCGCCTCGGGGGCAAATATAATAATGATGCATACAGGCGATGACGTCATCCCAAAAAGGAAGCCGCGCGTCAGTGGCTCAACAACATCATATATTTCACCTCATTCATATTGCCGCCCCTGGTCGAGGTCAAATTCTCCTAAGCCGAGGTTCGCATTTCCGCTCATCGAAGACGCCCACCGAATGCGTCTCCAACGAGCGGAGGGACTAACTGTATAGGGTCAAATTTGACCCTCAGCATCTCTACGCCAGTGGGTACGCCCAGTGAGTGTACGCCGACTAACGTAGCGGGTACGACTCGGACGTGAGGACAAAAGCGACATCGTTTAGGACTCAGTGTCTTCACTAGGGAGACGTTACCTGTCTTTGTAACTTTTTAATTCTTTCGAGGAAGGTCTCTTATTATATAAAGGAGACCTTCACATTGTAAAGGGGGACTCAGATCTAATACAACTCTCTCATTTTCTGGCTTTCTCTCTCTATCTCTACCTCAAACGAACATATCTTATTGAGTTCATATTATCACTTTGCAATACTAGATCTACAACAATAATATCATCTTTGCATCTCTAGGTTTATTATATTTGATTACGATTTACCCTTTTCTTACTTTTGATTGTTTTCTAGCTTACAAAGTATATTGCTAACTTTTGAGTCAAACAATAGCCTGTCTTATTTTTCAGATAACTAATTTTATATAGTATAAACAGTTACCTATAATTTTTTATTTTAGGGGGTAAAAGTTACATATAATTATCTTCTAACATGCTTAGAAATTGTTTACTTTCTTAGTAGTAGCTTGTAGTAAACTTATTTACTTTAACAAAGTAAAAACGTGTGTATAGATAGTGTCAATATATTCTCTTTATTACTGTATGGTGTGATTTTCCACTAATTGGTGGTATAAATATTGAGTATAATATTCTTAAAGAAATTCTTGTAACTTCTTTTGAATGGTGATGTGGAAACTTTAGAGCAGCATCTTAAATCAGTTCCGCAACCTTTATAGGTATTTACCTACCAGTGCCAAGAAATAGCTTCGACTAAAGACACAAAATTATGAGCAAAAGTAACTTTAATAAAGTTGCTCCGAATACCTAAGATATGAAATCGGGCCAAGGCGTGAAGATACTGAAATAAGAAATTTTCTAGAGATACAAGTAAAAAGTTATATTTCAAATAACTAAGGGCCCGTTTGGCCATAAAAAAAGATTCCTTTTTTTAAAAAAAAAATTCACTTTTTTCACAATCAACGTGGAATTTTGGAATATCAGCTTTTTAGAATTTTTCAAATTCCGAATTTCACTTCAAAGCATTCGTAAAAATTCAAAAACAACTCCAAATTGTATTCATACCCAAACACAACTCTAATTTTCAAATACCATTTTCAGTTTGAAAAACAATTCACTTTTTTCGGAATTTCATAATTCTTATGTCCAAACACCAACTAAATCAATAAATCAAAAACCATTATTTTTTAATAATTTTATTATAAATGTTACTTATAATTTTATTCATTCAACATATAAAATGTTTAACTTTTAATTTTATTTATACAACGAATAAAAAATTTAAAAGTTTTGGAAGTTCATTTTTCACTAGAAGACTGAATGAAATGTATTTAAAAAAATATGCTATTTTCAAGTCATCCGTCAAGTGGAAAAAGTTGGAAATCCAGATTCGAAGAAATAAATTACATATTTTAAGCAATTTGATACTTCATGGACATACTAGTACTAGTATTATAATTCATTAATAATAATAGGTCATCAATACCTATAATAGAAGCAAAACTACAAAATTTCTGCACCCAGATTTCAAGACTTCAGCTCCTAAAATACTCATTCAATCTCCACAACCTCTACAACAGCTTTATTGTTCATCACATTTTACAAGTCGATATACGATGCATGATGAATACACATAAACCATTGCCCATTAACCTTCTCGAAAACATTTGTAGCAAATTGTTTTCCCCAGCTGCTGCCTTTGGTTCTGACCATTTCAATGCATGTAACGTATCCGATATCACCTCTAACATGAACTTGAACATCCCTGATCTCGATATCAAGTGGAAAATCATATTCTGCCCATACGAACTCCCAGCTTCCCATTACGAGATCATAGCCAGTTATGCCACTAACACCAGGGTGCACGACGCAGACATTCTCACCCTTTGACCAGAGGGTTTGCATTGCAGCTAAGTCTCCATGTTTGAAAGAGTTGTAAAAGCGAGCATTTGCTGCTAGCACGGATGCCTTACTGTCCTCCTGGAGAAGCCGGAGGCTATCCCTAATTTTTGCTGCTCGGGCATAGTTCTCCTCTTTAATAGCATTCTTTAAATCCTGCGCCAAGGTTTCCTCATCTAGCAAGATGTTTTCACCGCTCAAAGTTCCTTCCGAATCCTCACTCATGACGCGGCATGGTCTCAGTGAATGTGTATGGGAACCTTGCCTAAAAGGTGCTGTTCTGAATAAATACACAATTAGATGTTTTTACAGCTTAGGAGAGAAGATATTGAAGTAAATAAAAAATTAAAAAGAAAAAATTGAACAGATGTAACACACTTGGCAGGTATGAGACATGCTGCATGTAACACTAATATCAAGACTTGTCTAAGAAACTGGCCTCTAGGAATTTTGCAAACGTGCACTTTGAGACAACTGATAAGGAGTAAAGTACTGTCAGGAAGAATCAGAAGCTATGTTGCTCGGACTCTTCAAAAATGTTGCCTCGCCCATGTCGGATCCTCCAAAAATCCACTACTTTTGGAGGATCCGACACGCACCCGACGGCATTTTTGAAGAGTCCGAGTAACATAGATCAGAAGCACAATACTTAAAATGGACAAGATAGGGTTTAGCTGACTTATTTCTTTTTCCAAGGAATCGGTTGCTTGCTTACACAAGAGAGATTTCCTAATATCTTAGATAGAGGTCCTAACCTCTACATGATACAGAGAAAACAGAAGCAAGTGAAGGGCAGACTATTTCCATTTCTTAACTAAATAAATATAAAGTTCCGATTAAGGTAAAGAAAATTTCAAGAAGATTACACAATCTCAACTGAGTAGAATTCGACATCAAAGCTTCCCATCCTTAAGTGCAAAAGTTCCTCCTCATTAATGTATGTGTTCATCTTCATGGAAGATACCAAAGCACGCTTAACAAGAAATAAACCTTAAAAGGAACTGCTTTTTTCTGGTGAAAATCACAAGTTTACACTATTTTGTAATTACACTGCATTAACAATACCACATTGAGTGTTCCATATCTTGTCTATTTAAAGTCACAGCAAAGTACAAAAAAAGAGCAAATAATATAAAATCATACTATTACCAGAGACCCACCACTAAAACAATGATAAATTAAAATGATTTATATCAAACACTCAAAAGCAAAAGTTTTACATAAATTATTCATTAAAAGAACAAATGTAGACATTGTTAACCATATAATCCCAATATGAACTTATAAACCAAAGAGAGCAACAGCACAATGTGAACTGCAACTCTACCCAAGAAGATCCGCATCAGACAATAGTTACATCAGCAGGCAAACAAGCATCTATAAAGGGATGTAGAAGATAATGAACAATTAATGCATTCATCAATCCGATTTGTAAATAACTTTCCTTTGAGAGGTAAGTCATACTTTTTGAATATCTTCAAGCTAAGCAAGGAGAACTTACTAAAATTTCCAAATTTTAAATCAAAAGCACATCGTCCAGGCAAATATGCAGACCCTATCTTATTTCTGCCAGCTGAAACTGCATTGAATTGCATTTGAAAATGTGAAGCAAGGCAGTGATCGATCTGAACACCATTGATGTTGGAATGAGCTGAAGCTATGTGCCCTCTGAACTCAATGCGTCCCTACAATTGAAAGTTGGTTACGAAATTAAATACATATCAAATTTTGCCAAGATTGTGGTTCATCAAACATTTAACCATACCAGAATAAAACTAATAATAGTAATAGAAGAAGAAAACTGAGACTACTGACAACTGCACAATTGAAGACAATTCCATTATTTTTGGAAATTTCAACTACAATCCTCATAGTACGGTAACAAGACTACTGCTAAGCTTTCTCCCTGTACCCCAACCAAATTTTCATCTCCACTCACTCTGGTGCTAATGCCCCAGCAGCCCAGAGGAACACATTTGGTGGCTAAACTGATTACAATATAATATAGCTAATGAAGATGAGGGGCTTATGAGCTCTTAATCAGCAAAATGATGAAAGAAAAGCTTAGGATTTAAGTGTATTCGAACTTCCAACGATAGAAAGATTAGAGTGCAAAAACAGAAACAGCGACAGCAGCACAACAAGGCTACAGGAAGAGAAACAGCATGACTACCAAACAGAAGTAGATGAAACACAAATCTCAGACCTACCATATTTAGTAACAAAACTTTATATGAGTAGCAAAGGATAAACAATAACTACCAAGGACACTTCCCACCGGAGCAAAAGATTATATTCCCCAATTATGGGCCCTTCCCTTCAGCTTTGGAAAATTATTACCTATCAAAAGAAATTTACTTTAGGACCTTTAGACTTCCTTCGGTGCAGTAACAGCTTTACACCACATTCATACCTTCACCACCACTACCTCTACAACCCGTTTCCACCTAAACTCATTAGTTTTTCAAAAACTACACTTCCACAACCTCTGCATATACCCTTATGACTTGATGCACAACTATTAACAATTAGTATCCCAAGCTCTAAATCATCCATTCAATTCCTTGCAAATTCAGCAATCACGTTATCCCTTTTATACAGTACATGTGTCAGTGTCTATTAGCTAATGATCCGGAACAAGATGAGAAGGAAACAAGAACAGGGAAGGAGACAAAAAAGAGGGAAAGAGTGATGAAAAAAGAAGGGAAAGGGAGCAGCAATCCGAGGAGAACTAGAACAAATGTGGAAGCATGTGATTTGTTGTTGGATAAAAGAACTGTCAACCGATCAAATATTCAATGACCAAAAAGAAAAAGGAACCCATAATCAATCGAAATGCCGAAGAAATTTGCCAGTTGATTATCAAGGTTATGAACTGTCTTAAGTGTAAATGGGAATCGTGCCAAGAACCTGAAACAAGGTGTACACACGAAAATACTTGGAGATCAAAATCACATACCTCTTTGAAAAAATTATTCATGGAATAGAAAAATATTATTTCCAGATGACTGGTTGATTTTATTAACATTAGACCAAGCTATCAATGCTCTCTATTCCGAAGGTATTCCATTAAGTTTGTGTATAAACGACTAAGTCCAAAACATAAGAGGAAAAAACTAAGATCCCTCAAAAGTAAATTTCCCGTTAAAATTCAACACCCTGGGAATGAAAAAAAGAAAAATCCTAAACAAGCATTAGGAACCAAAAACTATAAAATTGCTCAGCTTGTGAACTTAAGCTCCCAACATTTTTCTTTAGCACAGCAAAACCCTTTAGACAACCCCACTACTCAAAAAAAAGAAATTAGCCAGCAAGAAAATTTAAACGTAACAGGGCGAGAAATGTTACAAAAACTCACAATATTGAGGTAGTGAGGTCGACTGATTCGAGGTCCGAAAGACAATGTTTGGAAATTGGAAGCCACCTCCATTGCTAATATTACAATTCAAGTCATAAACTGCTCAACTCTGTATATGCACCAACAAAGACAACAAATCATCGGTTAATATAGACATATCTCATTGAAAAACTACAAGAAGAATTTAGAACGGAGATTTAATTTACCTGTCGAATATTTGGTCGAAGAGGACGGAGCTCTATCTTTGTACAGAGTATCGCTATGATAAGGAAGGTGTTTTGACTTTATATCTCTGGGAAGGTCACGAAATCGGGAACAAGACACTGACACAAAACCTCAGTGGATTGAAACTGGTAGTTGGGCTTATGAAAAAGTACTCTTTAAGTGGGCTGGGCTGGGCTGGACGATTGTTACACAAATAGCCTGTCAGATTCAAGGTTTCTAGCCGGTATACATAGATTATACCTAATTATATATATATTATACATGAATTATACGTTTATTATATATTCGCTGGCTATTTTTAGTTTAAGAGATTAAGTGGACAGCTATTTGCGTTAATTCATGTATGAAGCTTATGAACCTTTTTAGGATCATCCTTTAAATTTTGACCCCGTTAAAAAAAAGTCTTAAGAGAATAGCCTTCAGCTAGAATTTTGAAGCATACTGGTCAGAATTTTGAGATCAATCATGCAATCGCAAGAAATTTTCCTTAACATATAATTATGGTGATCATTAGGATTTCAGCCACAATGCTGAAAAATCCTAGTGATTATCATATGAAAAATTCTTATCATTGTCACGAGAGCTCCCCAAAACCCTGGCCTGATGTTACTTTCACAAGACTTTTCTTAACGGGGTCATACTTTAAACGGCATCAAATGATCCTATTAGTGAAAGTCACCCTATAATAATAGTGATCCACAGTCATGGAGTAGGTGATCCACGTTCATGGATAGAGGTGACAAAATGGTTAAAAGAAAACACTTATCCACCCATATTATCCATCAACAAATGGGTTGGATAATGAACCATTTAAAAACGGGTCGAATATGGATAAGAACCATATTATCCACTTAGAAAATGGTTAACCAAATGGATCGGATAACCAATGGATAACTAATGTGTTTAACTTTTATATTTGTAAAGCCTCAAATCGGGATACCTCGAGTTTGGAAGACTAGGAATTCTCTCATAAGTCATCATATTCAAGAAGCCATGGATAATATGGATATTTATATTATTCGCCGGATAACCCATTTTTTATCCGTCTCAAATACGGGCCGGGTCGAATAATTTATTCAATTTTTAAAATTATCCGTTTCTGACCCGCTTATATCCGACCCGATCCGCATGTTCGCCGCCTCTAGTCATGGAGTAGGTGTAGGTGCTGGTTATATCTATGTATAGCTAATATGTAATCTGAATTCTTGTAAGTAAATTTGGAGTACTCTTAGAGCCTGTTTGGATGAGCTTGTTTTAAGTGACTTTTAAGCCAAAATAGCTTTTAAGCCATAAGTTAGGAATTCTAACTTTTGGCTTTTGGCTTGTTTTTGTCATTTTAGCTTAAAAACAAGTGCTTAAAAGTACTTTTTTACTTTATCCAAACACTACAAAATGGCTTAAAAGNATCTTACGAAGTGCAGCTTTAAATTGACCCATATATATATATATATATATATATATATATATATATATATATATATATATATATATATATATATATATATATATCATATACCTAGCCAGAGTTAACCCCTCCAAGTCTAGACGAATTGAACGAGTTTTACTATTTTAGCTGAATTTGTTCCTTACTATTAGTTGAAGAGTTGTTGAAGTAAGGGCAGAGAATGGACTCATTTGGGCTTACCAACCCGTGGCGGAGGCAGAATTACCGCCAAGAACATTAAAAAAAAAAAGGAAAAAGTTAAAAAGGTTGTGGTAGTGGGTGGGAATAGAACCAATGATCTTACAAAGGTTTTGAACCTTCTTAACCACTACGCTATGTTTTTAGGCTATGTCAAGGGACTTTAAAACCTAATATATAAAGGTATATAATAAATTTTACCTTACATATAAAGTGTAATTTTTCGGCAAAGGGGTTGGGTGAACACCCTTCCGCCCCTAAATCCTCCTCTGCTAGCAACCCGTTCTTAGTGCCTCGCTGGCGTAGTAGTGGCTTATGCTACTTGTTCCTTAGTTGCTACTCTACTTAATACGGATTAAATTCGGATATTGATTTCAAAAAGAGCAATAAGTACAGCAAAATCAACAACAAAAGACAAAATTGTCCATTTGTGGCTTGAATCGTTCTTTCCATTATTTTAAAATTTCCCCTCTTTTCTTTCAATTGCCGCTCCGTGTCCAACTCGCGTTTTAGTAGAGACTAATCGAACTCCAATAAAGTAGATACTCTATATAATTTTTTAGATACTATATATAATTACATCACACACGCTTATAACACATAGCATGAAAATTCAATCTTCACAAAAATACTGAGATTAAAGTTATGTTTAGGCTAGCAATCAGATTGAAATTTAGGTTGTTATAATAGAATTGTGTGAGAATAAAGAAGGTACGTACTATGATTTAGGATGAACCATGTTGACTTTCATAATTGGTTTTGTAATGTAATATGACACTTTGGTGGTAACATAGCAGAGCGATGTCGTTTTACGTTAGTCGTGAGGCTTCAAAGGTTAGTCTTTTACTTCATTTCTTCAAGTTTGGAACTCTCCTTTTTCTTTCTTGCTATTGCTTCAGAAAATTCTTAATTTTTGTTTTATGTTATTGTTATTGAGGGCAGCTATGGAAGAGAGTATGTGCAGAGACTGCAACAGAAATCAGTCTTCTTGCGGAGAATTGGAAGTATATTTTTGGCGGTTTGACATTTCAGGTTTATATTGATCAACCCTCAATTTTCTGTTTTTGATTTCTGTATCGTTTCACCAATTTTTTCTTGCACCATTTGGACTGCGGCATGAAGATAGCCTTGGCGTAACACGTAAAGTTGCTGCTATGTGACCAGGTGTTCGAGCCGTGGAAATAGCCTCTTGCAAAAAAATACAGGGTAAGACTGCGTACAATAGACCATTGTGGTCCGACACTTCCCCGGACCCGCACATAGCGGGAGGTTAGTGCACCGGGCTGCCCATTTAGGCTGGGGCATGGAATTTATGCCCAGTTAGGCATAATGGTTGTTTTTGTTGTATGTAGGGGTGTGACATGGAAAGGAATTATTTTTTCTATGTGGGGGTGCATTGGTTTTAGCTGAAGATTCTAGGAGTTCTTGATCAGAGTTTGTGCCTTGATTCTTTTCAATAAGGATGTTAATCATCTTTTTTTTTTTTTTTTTTTTTTACTTCTTTGCAAAATTATGACTTATATGCTTTAAAGAATTATAAGTTCAGGTTAAGCTTTAATAGTTTTCACATTTTTGAATCTTGTTTGCAGTCACTTCACTCTGAATATTTTCCTAAAGTCGTGTGTTCCTTTCTTCTATACTTTCTGTGTTCTTTTCTTCTGTGTCTAGGGGAAGCGAGGGGGAGGGGGGAAAGCAGCAGAATTTTGAGCCATCAAATTTTGCATTTTCTTAAATTTCTTATTGAACGATGTAATTTGTGATTTTTATTCTTTTTTTATATTTAGCTGCTGTTGAAAGTGTTCCTGGCTACTATTTGTCATAGTCATATTCGATACCTCATTTCCCTTTCAGTTTCTCCTTAATTGTTTTTCTTCATGACCTTAGTGTTTTTGTTAGACCTACCATGCATGTTGTAAAATGTAAATGTCCCTTCTTTCTTCAGTACATATATACATGGACTTGCTGCTCGAGGGGTTCACTACATACATCGGCCTGGACCTACTAAGCACTGAGTTCTTTCTTCCAGTACTGCCTGACCGCACTAGTGCAGCGTTGTTTCTACCACTGAGCAAGGATAGCAAAACTAAGGAAGAGAATCACAAATTTCTGCATGGAAATTCTGGAGATCCTGCAGAATGGATATAGAGAATTGCGTTCTGGATTGTGTGTAGATGGGAGCACAGTCTGGGGCGAAGCTATGTGTGGCCAAGAGTAGTAACTGAACACCCTTCACCAAAAAATTATATTATACATTACTTGTTATTGATAAAAGAAATAGACTTTGAACACCCTTGCGTAGCATACTGGCAAAGGATGTTCAAATTTTGATCACCCTTATTGAATTTTCTGGATCCGCAATCGTGTATAGACAATACATGGAGTGCAACTAAGAAGCTGGTGAAAGGCACTTCTGTTTCAATATCATTGCAAGGTTGGTTTGGAAAATGATAACTGGTGTTCGTCCAAGTCCAGTAATTTTGGTCTATAGCGTAGGAATACAAAACCAAGGTCAGGTCAATGCTTTTGATATCTCCATGGAGACTGAGACTACGGTTAAAAGTAATGGCATCAAATGTATAATGGAATTCCATCTTTTTCACTCAATAAACTATCTTTCATTTTGTACTCCGTGAACATCTGGCACTTTATTTTTCATAATGTTAGTCTAGCCATCGATTAGTTGGAGATAACAGCATTAGGAAATGTTTGAATCACAACACTACCTAGTTATCTATTGTACTAGACATGAAACTTCTTGCTCTTCTAGCAGCATTTGGTTGTCGCAATGCTCTCTTTCTATAGACACACGGTAGCGCATGTCTACATTTTGGTGTCCTTTGGTTCACATACTTGTTATGTTGGGATTATAATGTAGAGATTGTTTATGAGGTGAATAAGAATGTGAGGATTGTTATGCAGTAATTATTAATGTACAGATTGTTATGAGGGGTTTACCTTCAAATTCAGCCAAAACAACTTATTTTTAGGCTCACATCCCCACCATTTATTGGTAACACATACCAGTGACATTCTGTTACATTGGATCTAGTAGATCAGAGAAAAATATGTCCAAATCCTTCGAGAAACCTCATCGTCTATGAGGACATGCTCCACATATTTGTACTTTGGTTGCATACAACAAACACATTTTGACGATTATAATTCCATATCAGAATATCATATCATGTAATGCGATTTAGAACTTATCAACCTCCACATGAAAGAGGATATTTCAAAAGGAAAAGATCTATACTAAATCTCCGAAAATGGGGACTTACCGTTGAAGTGTTGGGCACTTCTCCAGGTTTTCTTGGTGGAGATCTCCCATTTTTGAGATGTGTCGAGGTTAAGGCTGTTTGGTGGGCCGGTCTGGGACCGGGACCGGACCGGGCCCGCGGTCCTAACGGGCTAAACGGTCCTGGTGGGCCGGTCCCTGAATGGGTAGGAAGCCCATGACGGGCCGGTCTTGTACACGAGGCCCACGAGATCGGGACCGCTAAGCCCGGGACCGGCAGGCAGTCCTGGGCCGGTTCAACCGGGCCTAACGGTCCTAACGGGCTCCAACGGCTATTTTTTAAAAAAAAAAATTTAAACGGTCAGATTTTAAAATCTAGCCGTTGGCCTTTAATTTTCAACCGTTTGGAACTTTAAAAAATAGCCATTTGGCCCCCAAACTTTATTTTAACCCCAAACTTTATATAATTACACTTTTCCCCAATTCTCAACTATAAATACCCCCTCATTCTTTCATTTACTCACCAATCCATCAATCTATCTCAATCTCTCTCAATCTATATCTAATTTCTCTTCTATAATTGATTATTTTATTATTGCAATTTCGTGAAAAATTGTGAAGTTGGTGAAATGAAGTATTCAAGTCTTCAAGTCTTCAACGATTTTCAATTTTCAAGAAGTTGTTCGGCAATTCGGTAAACTCGTTCCAACTCTTAACTTTTAAGAATATATTTTTGTGTGTTTAGTTTGCATAATTGTAATTAATATGGCATTTTCTTTGAAAAAAATGTTTGGTGGTAAGGGAAAAGCTAAAATTGATGAAAGTAGTCTCCAACGTATTACCCTTCCCCCGGCTCCCCGACCCAGACCTATTACCCGCCCTGCTGCTCCTATTATTCTTGATAGTGATAACCCTTGTTTTCAATTTTCCGATAGTGAATTTTGCCATAATGTTGCACAAGGTGAACAATTAAATGAAGAAGTTATGAATGCTCTTTATCCTAATCAAACTATCTTAGAAAATGATGAGGAAAATGAGGATGTAGATGAAACCCAACCGGATTTAGATGATTCACCTACTAGTCCTGTTAATAACCCAACTGATGCCCCGCCCGACCCACCTGTAGAAACCCCTACTTTTAATAGACAACCTTCTAAACGCCTAGAAACATCATTAGTTTGGAATTTTTTTACTCAAGTAAGAGAACAAAATAAGGCTAGGTGTAAAACTTGTGGGAAATTGCTGGCGCATAAATATACTGGAGACCGTAGCGGTACGGGTAGTTTGGCTAGGCACATACAAACACACCCTAGAGATAAAGTTAAATATTTACAAATGAAAGCGCAGCAAGAGGGGACAAGTGTAGATACTGCGGTTAACCCTAGTACAGGTTCAAATCTAGTTCAACCAAGAATTAACACTGTGACCGGTGGTATTTTATATTACGATCCTAATAAAGATCGTGAAGAATTAGCAAAGATGGTTACTGTTATGTGCTTACCATATACTTTTCCTTCTAACCCTAATTTTGTGCATTATATTAGAAAAGTTTTTAATCCTACTTATAAAGGTTGGCCTCGCGCAACAGTTAAGAGCGATATTTATAAATATAAACATGAATATGAACAATATTTGCGGTATTTATTTACTCATATAACTAATCGGATTTCTATTACTATTGATATTGGTAGAAGTAATAATGACTGTGATTATCTAACTGTTACAAGTCATTGGATAGACGAGGAGTGGATAATGCAAAAACGCATTATTGCGTATAGAATAATTAATTCACGTCACACAGGTAAGTTTATTGCTAACACCGTTGCAGATATTTGTAGATATTTTTGCATTAGAGATAAAATAATGGCAATTTCTATGGATAATGCTTCTAGTAACACTAGTGCTATAGGCATACTTACAACAACACTAAATCCTGCATTTAGTAATTGTTTCCATGTGAGATGTATTTGTCACATTTACCATTTAATCGTCGGTGATGGTATGAGAATTTTAAATTTAGAAATTGAAAAGGTTAGAATGGCTCTTAATTGGCTTTTTTATTCAAACCGTAGAAGTAGACTTAGAGAGTATTTTAAAAAATGTGATGAATTTGGCCTTAGAGAAAGAAAGGTTCCTAAACCTTGTCCAACTAGATGGAATTATATGTACGAAAGTTTAGTAGTTGCATATGAATATAGAAACCCAATTAATGCAACGTTTAATGCTCGTGTTGGTGGTGAGGATGATGATGAAATCCTTACAAATCAAGATTGGACGAATGTCAAAATTCTTATAGATTTTTTAGAACATTTTCAAATTGCTACAAATGCATTTTCTGGACAATATTATCCTACTATTTCAAATTGTTTAGTTTATATTGCAGCACTATGTGATTTGTTTGTTGAATTTTCGGAGGGTGGGGAAATTTATCAACTTGCTATAAATGCAATGAAAGAAAAGTTTAAAAAATATTTTTTCCCTATCCCCCCTATTTATGGTGTTGCTGCAATGTTAAATCCTACAATAAAATTAGGAGGTCCTCACTTTTGGTACACAAATATTTATAAGGCTTTAGATCTTTCAGTTGAGGAATTTTCTACACTTGCAGAGGCAAAAGCCTCAATTAAAATAAATGCGCAAACAATTTATAATGTTTACCAACTTGCGTTAGATCATGCTAGGCCAAATGTTCCAACCTCTACTTCGTCTAGTTCACAATCATCTAAAAGAGCTGCGGGCCTACAAGCACTTAAATCTTGGACGGAGTTTAGGGGTTCTCAAGGTGATAATTTTGATGAGACTTCACATCTAAATGAGCTTCAAGTTTATTTGTCGCAGGGACTTGAAAAGGAGAATCCAGACGGCACCTTTGATCTTTTGGAATGGTGGAAGACAAGGGAAAAACATTTTCCGGTTCTTGCAAGGATGGCTCGGGATATTTTATCTATTCAAGCTTCAACAGTTGCATCAGAGAGCGCTTTCAGTCAAGCAAGACTTCAAATAGGTGATCATAGAGCGTCTATAAGGGAGAGCTTGGAAAAATCAGTACTATTCAGAGATTGGATCCGCTCGGAAAGAAGAAACTTTGGACTTGCAGAATCACAACCGGAGATAGACGAAGCTTATGAAGAAATGATAGCGGAACTTGCGGAGGATGCTACTATATATGTTATATATACATGAAGAAGTAGTACTATATATACTACAAAACAAGATTTTTCAAAATGAGGGCCCCACCCCCAATGAGCACCAACGGTCATATTAATTGCACAAATAGCCGTTTTTTTTTTAATTTACAAAACTAACCTTCTCTAACACTATAAGTACCCCCCTCCCTCTTCTTCATTTCAATACTCAATACTCATTTCTCAATCTAAATTTCTCTCAATCTCTCAATCTCCAATTTTCAAGACTTCAAGTCTCAATCTCAATTTTCAAGTTAAATCATGCCTCGTTCGGAAAGAGTGCGCTTATTTGTTTCGCAATACTATGAAGTGCTTGAAGAAAATGAAGAAGGCCAAATATTAAAGTGCAAGAACTGTGGAAGAGTCTTAAATTTTCGTTCAGGGTGTACCACAGGCATTTTAAGGAGGCATATAAAGTATTGTGTTGAGGGTATTTATCCGCAAATTCGTCTTTAAGATTTTTCAACAATTTGTGTTATTTTAAAATTATTAGACGTATTTATGCTTCATGTTGTACTTTGTTATTAATTTATTATGCATGCCAATTTAGTTTTACTATTGATTTGTTATTTTACATTTTCGTCAAACACTTTAATAATTAGATTTCTATATTATATATACCACATATATTTATATAGCCATGCATAAGAGCAATTTATATATATACATACACATATGGTTTACAAGAAATTGCCCTAAATAAAAAAAATTAAAAAAAAACGCCCGGAAATAAAAAAAAGCCCGTTAGGCCCGCTAAGCCCACGAGCCCGGCCCATTTAGCCCAGGACCATATGGGCTTAGGCCCGTCACGGGCTGGTCCTACCCGTTGAGCCCACGAATCCCGGGACCGCGAAGCCCGGGACCGCCAGAGCCCGGGACCGCTAAGCAGCAGGCCCGTTTAGCCCGGCCCGTTTAGCCCATTTAGGCCCGGGCCCGGGACCACATACAGCAGGTTTTACCTGCTTGCCTTGTAGGTAAGTATGTGTACTATAAAGCTAGTCTGAAAAGAATATATAAATATTTCTCTTCACATGTCAGGCCTTCAATTGCCCTCGCGGGCCTTTCTTTACTCACGACACATGAACTGTTTACTATGAGGGGATGTTAAAGTGGAAGAGCCAAGAGATGACAAAGGCAAATACCATACAAGCTAGAAGGAAGTTCAGAAATCGATGGCCATTCAAACAAGTTCGAGATTCTGAAGACAC